AATAGCGTCGCTAGTTTTTGTCAGCTGCGCACACAAATAGCCTATGATTAAGCTTCCAGTAATCCTTTGGCGTCCGACTAAGAGCCATGGGAGAAACAACGGTTGAGAAACCAACTTCTTAACGAAGCAACTCTGAAGTTTACCCAACAAAATACCAAGTCAAGACCAAGGTCAAGCAACTTTTACATTGGAATCTGCACGAAAAATTATTAATGAGCATAAAGTTGACCAAATTTTGATCAAAGTGAAGTCGATGATAGGTTTTTTAGTTTCAGCTAACGTGTTGAGATTTGCTGGGCTTTAACGCAAATGTTTACTTTCTGAACACTACGGTTTTGGGGAAAATCGTATACTCCGGGTATTGAGCTGTTGCGACCCGTTCACTGCTAAAACCGACCTTCAACTTAAAATCCAAAATCTTGAGAACTTAGGAGAGCCAAACCGACAACTCGTATTGGGAACTTCAGAAGAAAAAAATGGAAACATGCATTTAAGCAGCGTCTGAGAAATAGAGCCGTTCGTGTTCCTTATGAACTTGTTCCGGGGAATGGTTTTGACAGGAACTCGATAAAAGACAGCTCAGTTGAACCTCGACACCATTATTGGCGCGTACAGTGACATGAATAACGAATAATGATATAACTGTTGGAGGAGCAAATACAGGGTGACTAACGGCGTTCTGACATGGTAGGCTCGTAGAATCAAAGGAGGCCTACTGTTCTTCATTTATGGAGACTACTTCGTCAACCTCATCGGTGTTATCGTGCCCTCGTGGAGTACGCGTCCGGTGTCATCCTTTTCATCACTTGCTGGTCATCGCAAACGTTTTGCTAGCTGGTATGCCCACAACAGGATCGATCCACACGAGTGAGCCACGCTCCGGCTGATGGCTGGCAGAAAAGAGTGGGCTCTTTTTGGAACTGTCCTTTGGGGCCTATGCTGAATGGAAATATAGGCCATCGTCTTGTATGTGCCACGGATAGACACTGTTTAGTCTTGGAGTCCGCCACAACATTCAGGCTCCTTTGTGATCGGAACATGTGTATAAGGAATATTTTCAAATTGCAAAACTGTCTTTAGGCGAATTAACTTGGACATTTTTGTGTCTGCGTAACCCAGGGACCGTGCAGAAATAACAGAGTCCCGTTTGCCTGCGGCTGAGTCTGTCATCTGAATTAGACGATGGGGTTACTAACACAATAGAAGTGTACGTTTTTGGACAGTCTTTAAGTGAAAGCAAATCTATGGGGCCATTTTGGTGATCATTTCAAACTTTATGTATGAGATCAAGTCAAAATTTCCTTCATGGGTCCTTTTTTGACATAAGCTCACATGATACGGTAAACCTCGGTCATCATGAATAGCAGCCAGCGGTTGAAGCGTAACCAAGCGCACCAAAATCTCTGGTGAACAAGATGGAGGGGGAGCTTCTCGGTGAGAAAGAAATGACGTTATCTTGCTAAGTTTGTGGGACTTGCAGGAATTACCGTCCTAAACATTACAGCGGTGATATCTTCATCCCAGTGGTTGCCATTAATATCCACAAAGACAACACCGAATCCATCAGAGGTTCCAAATGCCTAACTACCATACGTCAAACCTCTCGATGGCCTGGAGCAGAGAACGTGAAGACTAGAGACGTTATCGGTGACACAGTTTCTCTAATACGTTTAGCTACATAGGGCCATTAATGTGAAATATCTAATATATCTCTGGGCTATGAATGCATGTACAAGAACGGCTTCAGTCAAAAAGTTCATGTCAAATGTCTCTTGATGGGGCTCATTAGCCGCGCAATGCTCTCAGCTGCGCAACCTCTAAGAGCGGAGTGAAACTTCTTGCGCCCAAATATTGCATTTTGTTGCGTATGTGCTCAAACCAAAAACCATTGTAATCTATTTTCACGTTTTTGCAGCTCACCAAACTTCATTTTCTGTTGCAGCAATCATACATCTGGCGTAAAAGTCTGGTGGGATTACTTCTTAGCACTGCTGAGACCCCGGAGTGTCTAAATAATGCTCAAACGTTTGAACTGGTACTCGGAACTCAATTCCCCGATTGTTTTAGCCCGTCAGGGACACGTCATAGCTTTCCGAAATTCAGTACCATTGTGCGAATACTAAGCGCCTCTCTCGAGTGAGAACAGAGATCACATTAAAAACGGCGTTTAATCTAGGGAGTAGAACTTGATTTCTGGTAGTGAAGGCTTTTGGCACTTTATGTGGGGTCACATTGCGTATATGATGTCAACCCATAGCGAATAGTCGAGTAGCCATTTACACTGGCCAGAGTAGCTAACTAACGTATGTGGCTTAGGCTGCGTGACTGAGAGGTGAGTGGCTTTGAATCCTGTTTAGGCGCAAGACAGTTATCTCCTTGATCGGAGGTCCCAGATAAAGCATTATCGTTTTCGACTGCTAGCCGAAAATAGTGGTTTTTGAACCTCTCTGGGGGGTTCACTGCCGATGACTCGCACTTGGGATGAAAGAGCCGGGGGGCTTTCCTTAGTCGTTTCTGTGTTGACTGATTTCACCCGTGGGATAATGTTCCCCCCAACAAAGACTCCGTGAAAGCTGTGCACTCATTATTATACTTCAAAAGACTACCGAAGTCAGACAAGGAGGTTCAGTCCCTCTTTTTTGCATTCAAAATACCCCCCGTCATGTCATTCTTGGACGCGGCAGCATTCTCAATGAAGTTCAACCTTAAATACCTTGCGAACTAGTCATACCGTGCCACAAGTACACCACACGAGTGGTGAAGAACTTAATGGAGAATACACAGAGATTTTTCCTGTGTAGGCAGCAGTTGGTAAAAGGTAGGGATTTATCGGATAGGGTTCAGATAATCGATTGTGCTTCAAGTTCCGCTTGCGAGGTACGCGGTACAATCCTGGATCGATGAACTTTTTATCTGTCCAACAACCGACCCACCGCTAAGCACCACTATGCTCCAACGACGTTATCTCGATTGATGGTAAAACGTTCGCAATCAAATTGCCCAGGTCTTTGAACAAACCAACGACCATCTGCGCTACCTGAGCTACCAACATTTTCCTACCTATTTTATTTGACTTTTTCTCTTGACGTTTTGACCAAACCAGAGTAGCACTAAATTTATTGATCTCTGTCGCATTCGCGTGGTTTTTCGAAATAGCTGTCTCAGCGCCATGCGCATGCGCCACATCCAAATGGGTTTGGTCAAAATGAAGTGTTAATAAATTTCAACTATTCGTTCACAAATTTCGGCTACCAGAAGCTGTGGATTCTTCAAAAATTTAACCATTTTTTCGTGTTTAGAACTGCACGTGCCAACGCCCAAATCAGTTGACAAGCGTAAAGTTATACGTGCCGGATTGACCTTAAATATCTAAATTGTTTGCTTTCGGCATCTTGCTGAATCGACAGTTTCCATCTCATAATGTTTTCTAAGTCTCTGCGAAAGGTACCTTTCCACTTCAGGAAAAGTGGAATGCCACATGTGATCTCTTTTATTCTTAAACGTCGCATCTGCTGAATTGAAAGACAATTCATACCCTTGATTTTGCCGTTCACTATCAACCTTCTGTCCCACGCACTATCCCTGGCCGCCAGCTTCAAATTTTTCCTGGAGTCCACACTTGATGGGATGCAAATTAAAGGGTCTTTGGTGCATTCAACAGCAAAGCGCGCAGGAAATTTCGGCAACCCGTAACCCATGTTTTGTGCAAGATTACTCAAACAGTTAATCCTCATCGCTCAAACAAAAATATGGTTAGCTTCATAACTGGAAATAATCAAGGAAAAACTCAACAGTTTGATCCTGTCCTGGTGGCACAGTGCGTCGATCCAAAGCGCCGTAATGAAATAGCCAAAGTACTTGTCGTGATGTTGTCAGATGAATGTCGTTTACACTGTAGCAACCGACCAATGTCACCGCAGCCGTCGAGATGTATGTTATATATATGATGTATGCTACCCATGACGCTCCTTATGCATTCTAGTTTCCATTCAAATTTGGCGCCATTTTCTCGTATTATACCCCGGGGTGCAACTGCGCGTGTTTCCTTGTCATACACGAGTATGCAACCACACTTTCCCTTCCTCTCGATTCCCGTTAGTGTCTGCCCAGATCCTCAATTTCTTTCCCAGGAGGTCTACCCATCAGTTGCGTTTCTTTGCTGCATCACCCTTTAATCACACTCTCTATTTCTAGAAGCGTTTCTTACTCCTGAGGCAGATAGTCAATGCGCAGACGAATATATTTATCTTGGTTCTTTTAACCGAGTTATTTTCAGTCTAACTGATCGGCCAGTCACTATTGAGTGCTACAAAAAAAAGCTCCTCGGCGGATATATTTAATCAATACAAAGGAGGAAAACCACCGGAAGTATATGTCGGGAAAAACAAGCAAATGAAAGGAAGGCTGACCACAACGTGACACATTACGCTGACTGACCAATGAACTCACGAAGAAGCTGTCACCCAAGAGGACAATCATGATAAGTGGTACGACATGCTCATCGTCTCTATATAAATACGCACAGGTGAAGAGGAAGTACCTACCCAACTACGCGCCTACAGTGCCTCCTCACAGAGTGACGGAACATGCCATTGAGCCCGTTACTCAAGTCATACAAGTACCAAGAACACCTACGAAGCGCCGCCAGGTCATAGGTCAAAATGTCCGGATGTGACAGGATGACGACACCTTAGATAGGCACAAATAGGCAGAATAAGAAATCAACGGCCTCCTGTATACATCTACTTTCAGCTTGTTTGATGCTCACTATAGCGATTAAATTTATTGGAGGCCAGAATTATGGAGCAAATGCAGATAGCGGAATATCGACCCAAACATTCTGTTCACAGTGCAGAGCGGATGCAGCAGCTTTTGTTATCATTTTACTTTTACTACTAAAAAGTGGTATAGTAGTATGAATTTGATAAAGTATTGTCCTACCAACCTGAACTGTGCGGTCGTGGGGTAAAAAGGCATCAAATCGAATAAGTTGTGTTCATGGCGAAAAGATGGTACATTATTTCTGCCCAAGATGATTACGCAGCAGCGAAACGAAAAGTTTGTTTAGTGGGATGTTGATGTGCATGGGTTGTGACTGCAAACTGGTCAACTAAGGTTAAGATTGTCAAAAAACAGTGAAGATACTCGATCGTTCATGCATTACACATGGCTCGGTACAAAGCAAAAATGTAACGTTTATGTTGATATCATAACCATTTTGCTAATAAACCTAGTTAGCAAAGTCAATGTACATACACCTCTAGCGGGAACGGCCACGTTCATCAACCGATCAAATAAGGTTATATTAAATATCGATTTCGGGTGAGAATGGGGACCTCAATCAATAGGTTCGGGCTAGTTGATCAATAAACCATTACTTCACATAGAAGGGCTGAAAATTCTTGTGACCATCTTCCACGAACTCCTCTAGCTTCGACATATACGAACCGTCCCAGCAGGGGTTGCCTGCAAGGTATATGGAGTCTTGGATTGAATATTGCGTCATTCAGTCGAGTGACAAAGCCGCAAAGGTTCGACGTGCCGGTACTGGATAAAGCGGTTCCAGTGCCAGATCTCGGCTCAGATTCCACATATACCGAGAGGCGCTCTAGATTTTCTGAAGTAGCCTTGAGCTTGTCGCTTGTATCCGCCCGGGGCCAATGACTTCCTTGGGATGCTGCTGGGATTACAAAGAAGAATTTCTTTACTGATCAGTGCCCGTTCTTTCTATGTCAAAACGTTGAAGCCCTAGCTTTTCAGTCACTTCTTACTCACTTCACAGATTTTCTAACGTGTGGCATACTTGTTAGACAAATGCGAACATATTATATTGTTTAGACGTGACACGCTACTCATAAGGTTACTGAAATCACTTCGATAGCCCACGACCGGTTTCGCCCCGAGCTTCCGTCAACCTTATGTTCTAGTAGAACCAAATTGCGCGAATTTAACGGAATACATTCATTTGCAAACAAATTTGGTATTGCGAGCGATTCATCTGCGCTCCACGTGAGTTTCTCGCAAAACGAGTTGTTTGCGAATGAGTGTATGCCATGAACCACCTTGCTCTTTCAGAAATGTATTACGATTGATTATGTGCTGCTCGCAACTTGCTCTTCAAAATTTCCTCCGGACTAATCATCAAACATTCCGATCCGTTTCCTGGTGGCTTCTCCCGTCGAGTCACAAGATTTTGGCAGTTTACTTCAAGATACTCCCAGGAGTTCACCTTCCGCTGAACCGATTGGTCGTGAGGTCAGTTTCACTTGATACAAGGCAACGACTTACCGATGTCCTGGAGGGTTTGAGCTTACAATCACGGTATTCTCTCAAACTGCATCAAAAAGAATCACCTGTGTTCTATATAGAGGCTCAAGTTAATACGGGAAGCATCTCACTTGATTGGAATTGAAGTAAAAACCCTTTTTGCATAGTTTTTGTACCAGGGTGGTCCTTCTCAAACTTAAAACTCTCTCAGCACCTTACATCAGTTTCGTGTGGTGTAAATCCCCTGATTCAGGGTTTCATTGTCAGAAAGTTTCCTTCGAAATACAAACTACTTATATCCATAGAAGTAATCACACCATGCGTGATCATTCGAAGACCCACCGAAAATCTGAAACAAAACATGATTAAATGGAAGGCCGCGAGATATAGGAAAAGTTTATGTGCGTTTGCCAGGTGGACAGAAAACGGCATCTCGAATGCCATTCCAAATGAAGCATGGGATGGCTTTTGTACAGAAGATAATCGGTTGAACGTAGATTGAACAGCCAGTTGGAAACACGCCAAGTTGGCCAGTCCGACCTCTTCTCAAGTCCACCTATCCAATCGATCGAAGAGGAACTTTTCCCCCCGTTTGCCACTGTCTCCACCAAAGTTTCAAAACCAAGGGACTTCCTTGAGCACATCAATAGGAAGATGGTCTGATTGCAACCTTTTACGAGACCTTGCCTTTTCTGTCCAGCATTAAGAAGTTTGTCCAAATAAAACATTTGAAACTACTCACGAGTTTTTAGTAGTATAGCGTATAAACGCATTTCCTTTCCTTCGAATGCGCTCAAGATAATAAAAGTTCACAAAGGAGACTACTCACAAGGTTGCTGAAAACTCTTGGACAGGCCACAACCGGTCTCGTCCATCTTGGGCTCATAAAGTACGCACAGTCCCCAAGTTTCCTCACCTGAGCCCCAAATGCGAGAAATTCGACAAATACACTCATTTGCATACCTGTTTGAGTTCCACAGGCGACCCACGCGAAACCACGTTGAACCTGTTTCTTATGATATTTTTCAGTCGATTAGTCTCCCGTAAAGTGCAAATGAGTACATCTGTCGAACATTAGAAAACCGTGTGGTTTACGTACATAGTTATCAGACAGTGTCTCCTCTGTTTCCGAAGGGCTTGATAAACAATCGGTAGCTTTTTTTATTTGGGCAACGTTTCGCTTTTGACACAAACGCTTCATCAGGCCAAGTGAGCAGGTCACCGAATTGGCCAGGTTATAAGGCAGACGGGGAACTAATCAGTAAATCAGTCCTCTTCAGATTATCACACCAGATCAGTGTTGAGTGCCAATTAACGGCTCTTGTCGGTTAGTGAAGTTGTCAAAGTCTTGCTTTGGTGGATTGGGGGAGTTCAAATTAATTCCGATCGGGTTTTGTTCATTATTATTCTACTTCAGGGTGCTTCACTTGATGATTCACCTCGGTTGCCACTGGTAGATTTCCCTGGTCTTTGTGGGGTCGTAAGTGCTCTGACAATTTATTTTTTTTTTTGGGGGGGGGGTGAGGTCAAGGGGAATTCAGATGATGACTACCCTTCGTTCCGATGACCGCACACCAACACGTATCAGCTCGACTAATCCAGAACCGTTCTCCACACGCTTGCCAGTTCCGCACCTTCTATTCTGTTAACAATGGGATGCTTGGCGATTTCTATCGCCTCGGCTATCAATCTCTTTGACATGGACTGTAGTCCTCGCCTCAAAACCTCAACATTTTCTAAATCTATTTTGTGCCTCGTGTCCACTGCGTGTTCCGCAATAGCCGAGTCTTTCAGTAATGCTTGATATTTATCTGCGTTTCTCGGCGGCCTGTTTATTTTTCTACTATGCTCTCCGACTCTGATGTGTAGTTCCCTGGCCGTCTGTCCTATGTAGACCTTGGTGCAGTCATTACACTTAATTTTATAGACAGTCCCTGGTTCTGTTTGCCTGGAGGCGATCCTTCAATTGCACCAGTGCAGAGCGCAGTGTGTTCCTCCTCCGGAAAGCTACTCTAATGTTGGCCATGTTTAGAATTCTTCGAATTGCCTCCGATGTCCCTGGTTTATATGAAATAACAGCAGTCCCGATCCATTCCCTGTTGGGTTTCGCTCCCGGTACCAACACCCTTCGCAATTGTCGCCTAATCAAGCTGGCTGGATATCCACTATCCCGAAGTTTGTTTTTTACCTCAATTTGGGCCGCTGTCCGATCAGCTTCTTCTGTGCACAGGGCCCTTACACGCTTAAACATCCGAACACCGACTTCGGATGGGCAGACGAGTAGTCCAAAACTGCCCCAGTGTCGGTTGGCTTCTTGTACACTGTGGTCTTTAGTTTTCCGCAGTCTAAAAATGCCAGTTTACCCGAGGTTCACTCTATCTCCATACCAAATTTGATGTATGGACTCAGTTCATTGAGATAGTTGTAAAACTCACTAACCTTATCTCGTTTCATCCTCCTCTGTTTTTGGAGCACTAGATGTTACACGGTGGACCAAGAATAACTTCGATGTTCAACTGCACAGGAAGGGTGGATCGGATTGTGACCGAGACTTTTAGACAACTGCAGAAAAATCTAACGGGAAAATTGTTAAACCAACCTCTTCCATGACCAGCTGTATAGATCACCACTCCACTGACTTCCGTCTGCTCACGTAGGTCTACATACCACGAAGGTAGTTCAACAAAGGGCCACCGGTACTCCAACACTGTGCAAGAATGTCTCGCCGCGCCACCTACCAAACCTCGTTCCATATTTGCATGTTTATCAGCTGAGGATTGAGGGTTAGGATCGTCGCTCATCACACCTTCAGAAGACCTCAGAGTCAACGTGGAGTTGCGCGTGATTAATTCCTCCCCAGTCCAACCATCCACAGCCAACGAGGCCATAGGATCCCCGGTGTCTCCCGATAACGATGAAGGCCGAATGCCATTCGCTGACCAGAAATGAAGCATAGACTTTGATGATGAAGTTTGTGTTTCCCCAATTCTGTGATTCGCAAGCATGGGGGCTCGACTTTCTTGACGACCACGAACGACCGCGGAGGGTTCTTCCGGGGACGCTGCATCTTTCTGGTAGTTGTGATTGATACTGGACAATGCTGTGGGCAGATTACGCTTCTGAGGATTCGAAGAGTCTGGATTCAGCCAAGCTGACTTTTTGTAGGCAAGATTAGCAACTAAAAAGAAAATGATAACCGTTGTGGAACATCATGAAACAGGTTGAAGTACAGCAAATATACTCGTTTTTCGAGAGACTCGCCTGGAACCCAGCTGAATCCCTCGTTTGTGAGGTTTCCAGCAAATGAATGTCCTCCACTAGGCCGCCTCATGTCCTAGTTGCTTCGATTTTCGATATATCACAACATATGTATATATTTGCAATGCACTACTCACAAGGTTGCTGAAAATTCGTCAACAGCTCACGACCGGTTTCGCCCTTCTTGGGGTTCATCAGGTAAGGAGTTCCCCCCGACAATCTAATCTGCATACCAATCTGCTTTCAACGTGAGACTCGCCTGAATCCCAGGTGAAACTCACGTTCATGATCTTCAACTGATGTGCTGCACAAAAGGCGCCTCACATTTCCATTGGTATCACATTCGTCCCCGATTTGTTTGGTGTCCGCGTAGGATTCGCGCATTGGTAGATGGATCCAAACAACTGAATTTCGATGTGACCGAAGCATTGAGCGGGTCTGGTGCGAACATCAGATCAATAACGGTTTCCATGTGCCCAGAAAGTACAACCCCTCTCGCGGATTGCCAACTATCGACAGTCACCGCGGTTTCTGCCAAGGTAACGAGTATCTTACCTTGGACATTGATCCTGCGCCGGTTATCTTCCAGTGAGCAACAGACACAATGCTTTCTATGGCTTACATAGACGAAATCTCTTTAATGACTGCGACAATATTGCTTATTCGAAGCAACTACTTGGTCGGGTCAAAAAGCTCGAATCCAAAATGCATAAATAGATGCATTCTATCCCACCTCACTTTGTTTGTCGCTTAAGATGCACCGTTCGGTTCGAAATGTGAAAAGCTCGACCAAGGACGACATACGTCAGCTCCCGCTAAGCTGCAACTTCCCTCTGCTAGGAAACAAACTTATTCCCAACCCACCCAATCACGCGTTATCGATTTGTCCTTGATTAGTAATGAATGGTCAAGCTCGGTGCCAAGCTCGGCGAACAGATCAACAGTCGCCTGATCAACTACCAACCAGTCTTCCCCCACCCTGCCTGGAGGACCTAAGCACTCACCCCTGCTACCGAAAGACAGCGAGTGGGTTCGTGCTGAAGCCATGCACTGGACTCGAGTCTTATTGAAACTCACTGACAGTACATATCCTTGGTTGTGTCGGGAATCGAAGACGTGAGAGGCGAACATATTGCCACCGCCCACTCATCGCACGGTGGACGCGACTGAGTTATCAAGTATGAACAGGCCAACGGGTTCATTCACGCCCCCACGTGACGCCACTGGTCCCCCGTCGGTTCACCNCAAAAAGGAAGTCAAAGCAACTCACAAGGTTGCTGGAAACTCTTCGATAGCCCATGACTGGTTTCGCCCTTCTTAAGGCTCATCAGGTAGGAAGTCCGTACAATCTGGGGACTGCATCTACCTGGTGAGCCCCAGGAAGAGCGAAACCGGTCGTGGGCTACCGAAGAGTTTTCAGAAACCTCATAAGTAGTTTCTTTTATGAAAATCTACTGCAATATCTCAAATATCGTACCAACTGAAACATGAAGCGGCCTGCGTGCAGCATATTCAGTTAAAGAACATCATAAACGAGAGGTTCACTTAAGTCCCCAGTGAGAACCAAACTGATTTGCGAATGAGTGTATTAGTCGCTCTAAGTCAAAGCTGTTCGGTAAGTTTCAAACTTTAAAAAGCTACTGGGTCGTCACCCCAGGAGTTCTGCAAACGGATCATGTCTCTCACGAGTGAGTGAACAAGTTCAGTGTACGCTATTGGAGTAGTGATTACACATTCAACTCTCGTGTCAGACGTTCGAGGTTCCAACCGCGACACGACCAAGCGTACCCACTGTTGGGGAACTCTAATCAGAGCGAAACTCGAATCCAGCCCATCCCCCTTTGATGAGGGCTCACTAGAGTGAGTGCGGCAGTACAGGAGAAGGAAAGTTTTTCAAACAAGTTGGTGTTACTGTGACATAGTACATAATATAATTATATGTAATATAATAATATAATATATGACCCTGCACGTTGGATCAACAATAGATCAGGCCCCAATAGATCAGTTTTCAAAAGGTTGTAAAAGGGCTTTCATAAGGCACGTGCGGAGAACAACAAAACGCTCGCTCCAGCTTCCACTGCGCGGTTATCCCAAAGAATATTTCCGGGCTAAGATTTTATCCTCATACCTAAACGCTGTTTTTTCTTAGATCTCCCTTAGTTTATGTCTCCAAGAAAGGCACTTCTATGCTACTGAGAGGCCACGTAAGCGAGCGTATTCGGGTTTTCCTGGTCCACTTGGGAGACAATCGTTCCTGACTGTTGTTCGTGTGTCCTCAGCGTGTTACATGTTTATTTTGAAAAGGGGTTTGACCACAACAGTGAGTGCGGAGCTTCTAGTGACCAAATCTGGACCTCAGATTGCACCTGATGAGTTTGACGATTCCACGCTGTAGAGAGAATTCATCATGTACTTTGGTGAGTCTGCAATCCTGAATACAACGCTCAAGTCCGGCCTGATGGTTAGAAAGCCGAAAACTATCGAACGAAATCCTAGCGACATATGGTAACTCGCCGGAGGCAACAGCACACACGTTTGCCTCCGAAGGCCGAATTCACAACAAAGCACAACTGCAGATGAAACCATTGCATGGAGCAGTGAAACCAAAGAAACAAAAAAATTCTTGCTCCCCCAAAATATGAAAAGTTTGACCAAGAACGATGTGGGTCCGGTCGCACCAAGTTACAAACCTCCTCGATCTTCGTAGCAGCCTTGTGCTAGGCCCACCCAACCACACGCTGACGGTGTCCCCTCGGTGAGTGACGAAACGTCAAACTAAGCTCAGCACATTAACTCGAGTTACCATGTCAGATTTGCTTAGCACAGTACGACCCTACTCCTGCTTTTCAACTGGAGACGAACCTGAGGGCGATCACTGATACTACGGATGAACACCCCACGGATGTGTTCTAGGATACCACTAACTCCACTCACTTCCACACCAGGAAGCATACACCCATTGGTTGGTCCGCATTTCAAAAAGACAACGCTCATGTGAATGGTGTTCGCTTAATCGATCACCACAACACTGTATGTCCAAGTGTCTAAAGAGTATGAGTACCGCTCCACGAGAATCGATTCGTTTTCGGGTGGCATTGGTCAGCTGACTGTCTGGATAAATCGACTCCTGGGTCAAAGCAAGTTTCACGCTCGGTTAGGATTCACCCCGTATAAGATGATCTGTGGATGCATGGTTCATAGAGTAACAGCCTTTATTCCATGAGACACGTGTCCGATCCCTTTACCTTCAGAGAGATCGGTTCTGGTTTCCCGGTGAATGTCCACTACCACACCATTCAGGTGGCAGTGGATTTCAGGTGCCAAGTTCCATTACACTTATGTCAAATGGTGATTGCTGATCCAAAATGGGCTACACCACAGCACACGTTGCCTGAATAACCATTGTATTCCTTAAGAACAGGTATAGAAATCTGAACCAATACAATCACCATGCAAACATGAAATTAGCGTCCCTGTTGCTCGATCGATTTGCGCTGTCACGTGATACTCGGAAGCCAATTTCGGTTGTCCATTCCCAACATTTCACAAATCCGCATGGTGATTTTTACTACTGCTAATAAAGCTCACCCACTCACAAGTTCATTTTAGGCTAAAGGCCAGTCCGTGGAATTTCACTCGCTGTGAGAATGACCTTTCCTCTGAGCTACTCAGAGATAGCTAGTAGTATGAAGAGAGTCGAGAACTGCTCAACTGAGGTCTCGTCTTATCAGTGGAGGAGCACTGTACACCTGCTTCACCCTCATAGGCGCATCAGCAACAGTTCGCATCTCGCGAAACTCCAGTTGGGAGTCTGAAACCCGCGACCTTCCGGTCAGTAGATTAAACATGACCGAAGGTGGATGATCACAATTCTACTCAACTGACACTTGGACGAGGGGAATCAGTTGTAGGGCAACTGCCATCTGAGAAGTCATCACTCGAGAGCCTGTCATTCAGTAGATTAAACATGACCGAAGGTGGATGATCACAATTCTACTCAACTGACACTTGGACGAGGGGAATCAGTTGTAGGGCAACTGCCATCTGAGAAGTCATCACTCGAGGAGCCTGTCATTACGTGACCACATGATTTGGTTTCCACGAATGGAAGGTGATGATCCCGTCCAATTCCGAAGTAATCAGTCACATCGCAGATCAGCTGCTCGTGGCCGTAAGTTCAAACTACTGACCGAGGTTCCAAAACTCGATGGATTTGGGTGAGGCGCCCACTGTTGTTTGATCCCCAATAAGGACGAAACAGTTGTGCATCGGTCTTTGCAAGTTATCAACGAGGATGATTTTTCTGTTTTTCGATACCTCATGCTAACATTCGTTACTAGAAATGGGAGGCTTAACACAGCCAGCTTCTCAAAAGACCCGAACCTCAGTTGATGGATTCTGGCCCCCGGCAACCGTTTTGATGTGTTGCCCACTGATTGTCTCATCGATAAAGACATAACAGATCCTTCTCTATGGTGGGACAATTTGGAACTAGCAAAGAAATTCCTCGACCATAACTTATTTAGTTCTCAATTTCAAGGGTAAAGAGGCCGTTCATGCAAGTTTTACCAGATTCGGAAGGATACCAAAGGTTTTTAGGGCCTGTAATCGATCAGCTGTGTTACCTTTTCGATGCCTAACGGGAGAGCAGCACAAAGGATACTGCCAGGTTGTCTAAGCTTAGACAGGGAAAGTCGAGAGTCAGAGTTCAGGTTCGAACCTTCCGTCAGTAAATTCGCGCTCTCACGACTGAGTCATCTCGTCCCCAGAGTCTGTAACACTGTGTGCATTTGCATTCACTTCGTTAAAACAAGCCACTGTTCGGTAAATCAACTTTGGCGGGAACATATTATTTGAATTAATAGATTGTAGATGATTAAGCAACCAAACAGAACACCATATCAGATCTTCCCCAGTGGAAACCGATTAATTGCCAATCCTCACTGCACATGGTCCGTACAACAACACAAGGGAGGCACTTTGTCACAAGTTGCGTGGAGGGTACGGAAGTGCAAAATGCACCCACATCTTAGACACCCCTCCCCATGTTCGAAACAGGCCGGTTCAGGTAGCATGTATCGGGATATTTATTGCTGAAAGTTCATTAAAGAGCTTGTACAAAGTGGTACTACCCGGCGTACACTACACCTCCCCGAGGAATGCATCCTTTTCGGACAAAAATGTATGGTTGATTGCAGGGAATTATCAGCCTGGATATCGCACCGGAACAGGACAGCAAACACTCGAAAAATACGAAAAAACAAGTAGGCACTAAATTTTGAGTGACTAAAATTAATTGTCGAAGTAAAATGAGTTTCCGAGAAATACACTCATTTGCAAATCAGTTTGGTTTTCACGAGAGACGCAATTGAATCTTTGGTTTATGATATTCTACAATTGAATCACAGGGCCGCCTGTGTGCAGCACATTCAGTTGTAGAACATCATAAACGAGAGATTCAGTTGAGTCTCTCGTGAAAACCAAATTGATTTGCAAATGAGTGTATTTCTCGAAAACAGTCCAATTCGGGTTCAAATAAATCATAAGGTTGACGGAAACCCGGGGACTGTGCCTACCTGATGATCCCCAAGAATGGCGAAACCGGTCGTGGGCTGTCAAAGAGTTTTCAGCAACCTTGAGAGTAGTTTTCTAAGTGAATAGAGTTGAAGGATAAAAAATACCGCCGTTCCACGCTCCCGCGAGGAAATCAGAACCTACGATTTCGGTCCCAAAAAATCCTTAGCAATACTGCACATTGAATAACACAAAACTACACTTTCATCACATGAGATATCTGTAGGTGGGCGTTCTCACTCACATGACCTGGATTAGGGGCACGGTTGGCTGCCTCAGATCATCCTTTATTCGTGTAGAGTTGGTGTGAACAATAACCCGTTGACCAAGAACGGAATCAAACATCGTAAATACTGACAACTCCTGATAGTTCATTGGTTAAGGCGCGAACTTACTGACTGGAAGATCGGTGGATCAAACTCAACCTCTGCATCTCGACTGCTCCTATCTAAGCTCGGGAAACCTGCCAGTATCTCGGCCCTCGTGCTACCTTTGGTTTGCAGTTGAGCCAGGAGACAGCTGTTACATCTGAACGGTTACTATTGTTACTACTTTCATTTTTATTGATTTACAGTAAGTAGATCGACTGCGCCAAGAACAACAGGCGAGAGTTTGAGGCGCGCTAGTAACAGAGTTCCTGCTAGGATGTCAACCCTACAACGGGAAGCAAACGAAACAGAGATCCTTGAAATCCAGCTGTGTGCCTGAGAAATTTCCCTGTAAGTACAGAATAGGAGCTTCTGGAATATAATTGGCAAACTTATTGGGCCGCACATTCGTGTTTTTACATCGCAGCGGAATGAACTTATAAACACAGCTTCCGAACCCTTCAATGACTACACTGTTCACTAAAGTACATCCACAAATCGACGGAAGTTATCTCCATGTTCCTGTAGGTTGACCATATCTTTTGGCCTTGTCACGCCGTACGAATTGCTGTTTTAAACAACGCAACCTAAAGCACACCAGTGACGTTCAACATATCCTTTTATTGATCGTTCCTGTGCGCTTTCTAGACTCGATACGTCACTGTGCAACTTACCATGTAACGTTATACTGCGACTGGGGTTCAGTTGCAGCCACCCGTTTTATCGATTACCCGTCGGTTTAAATGTTCATTTTGCAGCCATTGAATGCTATCACACACAGTGATTTGATGGTCACACGGTGAGCGAGGGCTCGATTGGAAGTACAAGACCATGGAAATGCAGCAAGATGCAATCTCCGACAAGCTGAGATCTATCTCGTTGCACACTACGTCGCCCGTTGAACCCGCAATGTTGCGGCTATCGTGCTCCGTTAAGGGAAAAATTTAGTCAGGTGTAGCAGTTATGCACAATGAACCAACGAGAACAAAGTAGTCCTTCTTGGTTTGTGGTGAAACTCACGAAAGAGCCTAGAAAAAATTGCGGTAAGCCTGACGGTTACAGATTGCCATCGTAACCAGTCAGGTGACTGCCCAAAGAGTGACGTTTGCGCCAAATGCCCATCGACCTCTATAGTTGTAATGCACTACTCATGAGGTTGCTGAAAACGCTTCGACAGCACACGACTGGTTTCGCCCTTCTTGGGGCTCATCAGATAGGTGCAGTCCCTGCTTTTCCGGTTTTCCGCTCTACAAATATACATGTATCGCGATATCTCGAATATCGTACCAACTGAAACAGGAGGCGGCCTAGTGCAGCATATTCAGTTGCCAGGAAACATGAAAACCGAGAGATTCAGCTGAGCTCCAGGTGAGTCTCTCGAAAAACCAAATTTGCTTGCAAATGAGTGCGTTTCGCCCATCGACCTGGTTCTTCCCAAACCATGTTGTAGTGTCCTCGAAACGACAGACTTACATCCCACTCTACAGCGACGCTCAGTTACGACATTTTTGTCGAAAAAAGGTTGTGCCACAAAAAAGCACCGCTAAGTGATTGTTCTGAACGGCGATCTAGATCAAAAAATGTCCTTGTGAATACAGCTTGGTTAGATGCTTCTTCGAAGATGTTGCAATGACACCGAGTGACCCCATGTGCAATTGATTGGAGCCAGTAAGGCCTCCACCTCTCGTGAATCCGATGAAGAATTGCTTGCGTTCACTTTATCAACGACTTTAACCCGCGTCGGATCGACCAATTGAAGTGCAAGGTCACTGACAAGGTGCAACACGTAGTTTGGGGTGAGTCAAGAACAATCGATTCAGTCAGCAGACAGCCGAAACTCTCCGAATCAGGGAACAGTGAGAAGCTCAAGCCGCTCCATCGCGGATTCTCCTTGATCCATCTTAGGAAGTCTCAGCAAGTGGCTAGGCCAACCAGAAAGCGCGAGCCAAGAGGACAATATGAGAGTTCCAATACCGAAGAAATGAATACCTGATGTGGATTTGCTTCCAATTGTAGGATCATTTTCATGGGATATTTTTGGAGCCCTGCGTTTGCGAATGCGACCGAGAAACTTCAAGGCTGTGACTAACTGACAGACTAAGAAAACCAGAAAAACGTAGTAAATGGATTGAATCACACTGGGTTTAAGTGCTCTGAGTGAACTTTCAGCCAAGCTGGGATTGATTATCTCGCAATCCCTGCAACCACGCCTACCTGAAGGGCCCCGAACAGGATGAAACCGGTGTAACGGTGATACTACTGATGGGGAGGCATGCAAGTAGTATGTTTTCTTGTAAATTCGCTTGAAAAGAGGAATCTACTGCAGAATTTGTGGACTCGCTTTGTAGCATTTGCTTGAACTCGAGCAACATTCAATGAATATCCAGGAAAGTTCTGGAAGATGCTTTCAAGAGAAGATGGATGTTCAGTTTTTGTAAATAAGATGCATATGAGAGTTTTGCTTCCCTGTCCAATAGTCCTTAACTGGTCAGTTGGCATTTCTCACTAAATAACTCTGCAGAAAAGGCCTTCTTCCTTTCACCGGTGGTACGCTGTCCCGTGACATTAAACATACCAGTTATATCAAGCCAAAAGGATTTTATTGAGTGCCTTAGCAGAGCGACCTTGAGAGAGCCTGTGTATTGTACTCTAAGCAGAATAACATCAAAAAAGTATTGACTAAGAAGTACCCCTTCGACTTTTCAGTCCTCGGTACTTTCACCATAATCCCTTGACCATTTGAAAGTTTGTCGTAACCGTTAAAACGATCAACCCACTCCACTGAATGACGCTTAGAAAAGTAACGAAATTGGCTGTTTTGGCTTACAGTGCGATTGCTAGACGTGTTCTTTCAAAGCCGTCAGTTCATCGACAACGGATCTTCGGATGACCATTTTTATCTATCTACCTAGATCCCCACCATGTTCAGAGCTGAAATGGAGTTAGATGCCTCTGCTCCGTGCGTTGTCCTTACCAACTAAGGTCTTTGAAAACGTGTTTTCGCACGCACACTGAACAAAAGTTGACTTTGTTGAGTTGTACACGGTAATGCGACAAAGTGTCCGACTGATCCACTTTTCTGTACATCAGTAAGTACACCATAAGTCCATGTGTCTAATATGAAGACAACCACAGGAATCGAACGGTAATCTTACATTTTGGTTTGTTTGCACCATGCAATCTTGACAAGACAGTATAACCGGGTTGCATGTTTGAAATCGGGATCACTTGAATGCCTCAAGTGGCTGAATACTGTTTGAACAATAACGGCTTGAAAGGTGTCAGACATCGTCAGTGGGGCTTAACTACACATCCTTAGAAGCTTATCGAACAACCAATGGAAACTTTCAACATAACCTTTTCTGTGAAACGTTTCCCCGTTTTTATTGGTCAGCGTCACTTGACCTTGAAATGGCAAGGCCAAAGGTGATTGTACACCTATCCGGAATCGGACTTACCGCATGAGCTCTCGTTATTAATGCGGAAAAATCCTGTGGTACAAGGACCTTTTTGTCGACATCCAAGCAGACCAACACGCATTGCAATTCGATTTCTCCAATTGATTGGATGCACACGGACGTAGCGAGCGATAAACGGTGATGTGAGGTAGTGTATTCGTTCTGGAACCAGTTCATTGTTTCCTTCGAATAGCTTGTTAGGATAGATGAAAAGAAAGACACGCATTCAGCTCAGCATTTATCACATTCCATAAGCATGCCCTTGTTGAGTAGGCTACTGGCATGCAACGATCGGTCATGATATGCAATATCGACAGGTAGAAAAGAGAACACTCAGCAATCAGTGTGAGGAACTTAAAGGTGAAACTCAAGTGGATTTGTCACGAGGGTACATGCAGCAAGCTCGTATTCTCTGTAAATCAAAACACCGGCTTGGATTTTGCACAGATGGTTGATGCATCACTCTGTAACTTTTAAGAATCTGGCTAAAGAAAGATCGATAGTTTCGTGAGTTTCGTCGGACGAGCATCGCTAATGACTATCAACAAGAATGAAACAGTGCTTCTCAGCTTTTCAGCGTAGATTGGCAACGCGGACAGGATGAAAGCGGAATGCAAAGCAAGTTGGTTGCCCCTCAGTTTGTCCGGTTGGCTAGCAGACTAAATGGCTAGGCTTTAACCGGTTTATAAACTTGGCAGTCAGTTTTTCAAACATTCTACGATTTGTCTGGTGTAGACCGTTGCCTTTTCTTGCACTCGCCTGTTCACACTTAAATGACAGTATTGAGCAGCCCCAGAAAGTCTGGTACAGCCATTCTGCTAGGGGAATGTCGGCATAATGTTGAAGCCACTGCGAGGCGGCGCCAATGCCCTGATACAGAGGAGGTAGTGCTCATCCTTAAAGGAAACTACTCGTAAGGTTTCTGAAGGCCCTTCGACAGCTCATTGTCATTCCATCGTACTCAAGCTGCTTGGTGGTGTTTGAAAGGATTCTGCGTGCTTAGCTGCTAACCAGATTCCTTCGAGGTTGCATTCGAATCAGCGGCTTTTGAGTGCCACTCAGCTGGCTCAGCAGCTGCTGACTGACAGTTCTCTTCCGCATTCGGACCGGTACTTCGTCCTGGTTGCAGCCTAGTTCCTAAAAAATCCGACGGCATTCGTGGAAGACGCCATAAAAGGGCCAGGCTTTGACGATACCCACGTCAGATCCAACAAGTAATCAAATAGCACGAAAAAACAGTGATTGTGTTGAACTGATTCACGAAGATTAGATTCTTTCAAATCCACCCAACCGTGAGTCAAGACGTCCTCCCAGTAGCGTGACTAGCACACCATTTCCGAACAAGTCCCTCTTGAAGCTACTTTCGGATTTCTTCATGGAACATTCCCCCTATTCGATTGACGAAACCTTTTTGGATTTCTTTTTGTCCTCCAGAAACGATAAGAGCAAATGCTAGGGAGGTAACCGTCTCGTCTTATACTCATTCGTGATGGCTTGTCACCCATGGAACCCTCTTCGTTGTTGTTGTTGTTGTCCCACGTTCTTGTTGGTTTTTAGCTATGTGCGTTGACCCGGAACAATATTCGGATCAGTGCAGCTAGCCTAGATGGTATCCACAGAGCGAAATAAACAGTACATTTCACTGCACTCACCAGGTGCACACTCGCAACGATTGTGTGTGTACTCGAACAGGTGGCAAGCCGGTATGACCTTGGATGTATGCATAAGACGAGTTCCCCCCGGACGAAGTACACCCCAAATAATCTGATTTCAACAGACAAAGCTGTCATTTTTGCTACTTTACTAAAAGTCATCTCGTGCTGAGACTCTTCAACAGTCCACAAGTGATTTCGTCCTTCGTAAGACGCGTCCAAAGGGCGTAGTCCCCGAGTTTCCGTCAACTTTATTTTCCATCAAACTGTACCGATGTACTTTGCAAGTGCGTGTATTTCATCAGTTGTGAACACCTTTGTGTTCGAACAGAACTACTTCTACCTGATGATCCCTAAGGGGGCTCAATGTGGACTTGGGCTGCCCCAGAGTTTTCAGCAAATTTATAAGGTATGTGTCCCGTCTAGCCAATATTCTGTGGTATTTCGAATATTGTACCAACTGAAACATGAGGCAACAGCAAATTCAGCTGAAGAATATCATACCTGAAAGAATCAGCTGCAATTCAGCTGAGTCTCCCAATAAAGCCAAATCAAATTTCAAATGACAAATTTGAGTTCACGCGGAGTCTAACTTTGACGGATCCCCGGGGACAGTGTCCTTCTAGTGAGTTTCAAGGAGGGTGGAACCTGAAGTGGGCCATTGCAGGGCTTTCAGCAACCCTATGAGTAGTATGTTACCTCTCGTCGTATCAAGTGGTTTCAACTTATTCCAGTGTGGACATCCTCAAACTTAATTTCTCGATCGACTCTGCCCACTAGTTCTTGTTGTCAGCCCCAACGTCTATGTTCACCCTCTCTGATGCCCGATAGTAACCTTAGCCGTGTTATTGGTAAGTGCCGTGAGGACTTTCTTATCACTTGCTCTCTTGACGCGCCCACTTTATCGGCAACGCGATGAGATCCAAGACATTGTCATACATGGCCCACTCATGCCCTCAATGGCGCTCGGGCATCCAAGCTATTGCCTTCAACGCATAGCTCCCCTCCCAAGCCTTCCATTCAGCAGCGTCAATTTATCAGCTCCCGCCTCCGGTGCGCAGCTATCTACCCCACCTCCCCAAATCAACGGTGAACGAAACTGTGGCAGCTGCAATCACTGTAGGACAAGTACACGGTTCTTGCAGCTGACAATGATTCTGACGATGATTGCTACATTCTGATGACGTTATGTCGCGGTTTGATGTAGCTCGAACGTAGCGTCTCTGCGAGTTATGAGATTGTTCTTCTCTTCAACAGGTGTATCGCTGATTCGGCAGGTAACTAATGGCATTCCGGTGAAGAAAAGGCGGACGGTGTATGTGAGAATCAGCTATACATTTTGTGTGTCCGTGTACGGAACCCCCGAACCAGCAGTGCCCTGCATTTTGGAACGATCAGACTAGCAATCGACCTGGAAATTCTCTCGGGTCCGCCACAATGAACCAAACTGAAGATAACCACAAATGAGGCCAACTCTGTGCGTTTCTAGGGCTTCTAACACACGCTGTATTTTGGAAATTGAAAGGTATTTTATACATCTGGATTTTGGAGATCTTCTCACGGGTTTCATGAAGTTAGCAAACGTGCAACCTGCCTCGCACCACCCAAGAGTGCATGCACTCCAAGTTAGGAACCGGTAGTCTACGAAATTCTCATGTCTTAACATCGAAACCCAAGTCTTGATTGAAACGCCTACTTTCTCAACTTCCTTCGTATGTCCATCCTCTGCCACTTGATGAACCCATTCATACGACCATACGGTCGACTGTATCACGTGAATCATAATGATCGATAATAGTTTAACATAAAAAGCATAAAACAATAGGGTGAAACAAAAAGTCGGGAACGAAAGTGGGATTGACAAATAAACGAAAAATCATGCAAATGAAATGGAATAGAGGCATGTGTTAGCAACCAGTTAGGACATGGCCTTGAACGAGGTGAAATTTGAATAAAATGCAACAGTTTTCCATTCGATTAAACGTAAGAGCACAGAATCTATTTAGTTTGGTCATGACGTATAAGTGGAATAGGCATAATACACTACTCATAAGGTTGCTGAAAACATCGTAAACGAGAGATTCAGTCGGATTCTAGGTGAGTATCCCGTCAAACCTAAATTGGTGTGCAAATGAGTGCATTTCACAGCACCGGAATCCCCAAACCGATAGGTTATTCATTGGCTACACTATGAATCGAAAGGTTCAAAATAGTTGCCCGTCTAGCAACAGGCACTTGAATACTGGTTAATAACATTACTACTAATAGTAATAATAATGATGATAATTCACTTGTAACACCCTTTCGGTTCCGAGTTTCTATGCGATCCGAAGGAAGTACGAGGATTGAGATGCTTCCGGGTTGCCCAAACTTAGATTGGAGCAGTCGAGATGTCCGGTCGAGTTCGAACCATGAACCTTCTGTTCAGTAATATCTCGAGCTCTGCAGGTGGATTAGGCTCCCAGAAATTGATTTAGCCAATAGCTAACTATGAACGGACTGTAAGATTGCAGCTGAAGCCTGCCACACTTTGTCACGCCCAACGAGCATTGCCTTTGATGCACACACCACGATAAGTTACAAAGGCTAGACCCAAACCACCCTCAGACCCACCCACTTTCATTCTCCATTTGAAGTCATTTGAAAGAACCATATGGTGTGGAAAAATTGAAGCCATCCTCAACTCGGCTTCTGAACCAACATGGTTGGTTGGTCTTGCATGCTGCCTCTGCCTATAAATCGTCTCGTACATGTCTTCAGTTCATCCCCAGTCGGCTTAAAGTCCACCGTGATATTTTTGAATACATGAAACTTTCATCGATCAATACCTATGCCTGTCACACGCTGACAGCTTGACAGTAGTTTCGTGGAACAACGGCTTACTATGCACTATGAAATCAACAAGGGGTAATCGAACTGAGTAAAAATATGTGCCACACACGCCGCCGATGGAAAAGTACATCTTCTCTAATCCAAAGGGTGGCAAAGCTAAGTCTT